CCAGACCATCCATGGGACTGGAAAAGTACAGTCATCACGGATGGGTCATTTTCATGGGGTAACGGGCAATACATATATATATATATATACAACTGTACGTATTATAGTATGTAACATAACGCTTCCAGTCTGGATGATCTGGGCTCCCCACCGGTCCCCACCGGTCCCCCACCGGTCCCGGCACCCTTCTCCTTCTGTTTCATCTCTCGTTCCCGGGATCTGCTCGAGCGATCCTTCACCGCGCCCCGCGGACCCCGCGGGCCCCGCGGCTCGGTCTTCCGGCCACGTGGTGCAGCTGGCGGAGCTGGAGCTGCTGGTGCTGGGGCGGTGAGGTTGTAGTCCTCCAGGGCGCGCCGGTTGCGCCCCTCGGATGACCCCAAACAACTACAACCTCTAGATGAATGAACGTTTGAAGGCCTGACTATTCCAGACCATCCAAGGGACGGGAATAGTTATAAATTATTTGTTACATACATGTAGATGACCCTTGCATGGTGGCGGGTTCAGGAGGTTCCTGTCAATGCCATTCAGGAACACGTTCTTTCCAGGGGCCATGCCATTCACGTGACCATGATTGTCCCCAGACACTCCGTGGTATATTTACCGACATTGGGGTAGTTTGAAGGGTCAATGTAGGCGGCTGTGGGGAGACTGGCACCTGGATTCCGACCGGTTGACCCATGGTGGTCGGGCTCCAGGTGGATCACGACCCCCCATATATGACAAACATGCCCTAGGGATCCAAGTATATACCTTCTCAGGTTCGGTACGACTGGACCCTCCTGCCACCTACATAAGTGTCTCCAATCACCTGAGAAGATACGACTGGATCATGTTGGATCCCTAGGGATGGAAAGTCGGTTGGAGGATCTCCGTGTCTCCGCGTCTCCCGACCCGCCCGCCACGAACCCGCGTCACGCACGGTGCGGCGGGACGTCGTCACCGAGGAAGCTTGGCGCTCAAGTTCCGCCAAACAGTGAGTTGCTGAAGCCGGGAATCAATACCCCCCGCTATAGACTAACATGGACCATGAGTACACCACTGGTTGGTATAGGAAAACAGTCTTTCAGGGTGCCATTCTCAGGGTCCATGTTAGTTTTGGGCAGTGTAAACCAATCGTCCCCCAGGGGATTCAGTCATAGGGGGATGTTCAACAAAAGATCTGCAAAACCAGGAGTTTCCCCACGAATTTGAGGATCTTGAACACCAGGTGGGGCAGTTTGAGTTGGGATTCTTGAGCATCTGTCCTTTTCGTTCGGAAAGACCCGGGTATTGAGAAGACCAGGAGCTTTCGGTGAAAGGAGCTTGCTCTTGCCATTCCATTTTGTTCACGAGTAAGGAAGGAACATGAAGAACTGTGACTCTGCATTGGGACGTTGAACATGGGGATCTTCATCCCAAAGCATCCATGGGATTGGAATACATGCCTACATTGACCCCGCTGTTCAACCATTCCTGACCTGATCGGATGATCGGTCGGATTCTGCCAGTCCCACCGATCGCGGGCACAGCACCCACTCCCGACATTTCTCCCACCACTGCCAGACCAAACGAATGGGACTGGAAGAGTTGCATACCAGCAGTCACAAAGGGCTGCGATCCATAGGGGTGCTAATTATCCACTCACTGGATGAGACCAAACACCACCCAACTCCATGTGACTCCTGGTACATTTGCACAATTTAGGAACCCAATGTCCAATGTTCGTCTGGTCTGGGACTCCCAACTTCCTGGTGGCCCAGCCTGCGACTTCGCACGAGCCCGTTCCAGCTGTCGCTCCGTTTGAAAATGCTCGAGCTCCTGCGGAGAGAGCGCTCCTCATTGGTCGCCAGTAGCCCTGGTGCCCCCAAAAAAACGCTAAGTAGCCCAGGTGGATTCCAAGCAAAACGGGGACCTGTAACCGACCAAAACGTGGTGTACGCAGTGAAAAAAACCTACACAAACCGCAGCCTTTCGGCCACCATCCCATGTAAAAAAACCACCCAGTCGGTGTTCTTCACATCGGACCCAGTCCAGTCCCAGTCCAGAGTCTCGGTAGACCCGTAGAGCCGATGGCAAACGATGGACCAAAGTCCACATTGCAAAACGACTCACCCTATGCTGTTTGTTTTCCTATACATTAGCCAATATCCTTTTTTGTTCTATATCATCATCGCGTCCTGCAAAGTGACCCAAAAAAGCAACTGGCAACTGAACTACCTGGTGTACATGGTCCATTTTAAGGCTTTATGACTTGCCGGAAATCACCCTGAATCACCCTGAAATCTCATCTCTCTCCATCTCTCCATCTCTCCATCTCTCCTGCTGCTGCTGGAGCTTCGTGGCGCTCTGCAAAGCTTCCTCGCGTTCAAAGAGCTGTTGGTCTTTGGATTGCAGGTACTGCTCCTCAGATCGGCGGAGTTTCTTGAAACACCCAGAAAGAAGGCCCACTTCTGTACTAAAAGAAGACCAGTGAAGCCCGGCCGTACCTGAAACACCTGCCCCAAAAACACCGAAAAGCAGGCAGGTCTAAGTAAATTTGGTATTATTTGGGTGTCATCATGTTTCATTATATCTGTTATATATAATATACAATATGTTTATATATAATATATATCATATATATGTTCTTCGGTTCATGGTGCCATCAAACCCATCAATGAATCCACCACGACCACCACGGTCGATCGGTCGGACCGGAAACACTGAAGACATGAGACGACGTGCCAGGGGAGACGACGGGTCGGGTCGACCTGCGGACGAAGGGAGGACTGGATCTGTAGGGAAAGAAGCTTCAATTCACCGTGGTGTCAGAGTTTCTGTCGGATGTCTTTTTTTTAAACCACCAAACTTGGGGATTGTGTTGTGCCATCCACATACTCTGAAACCACTTTCCAGGAACCTCCAGTACGCAGGTCTTGTCATTGGTGTCTCAAAATTGTCTGAGGAAAGGCTAAAACACCAGAAAAGGGTCCAATATGGTCCAATACTGGGTGGATGGTGCGGTCTACTCAAGATCCCAAGGCATATCTATCTATTGATCTATCCTGTTTGGTGGGTGATCCTCCAACCCCAGGATATCTTGAAGGCCCCCACCGTCTGAATCTCCACGGCGCAGGCCCGCTTCCAAGCCAATGAGAAGCGGGGCAACCCGGGTGACGCTCTTCTTAAGATGTCGTAAAGCCATCTGGACACATTTGCTTTCAAACACCAATGATCAAGTTCGACATACTGTACAAAGGTCCCAACATGATTGGAAACGGCTTCTGATCCTTGCTTGGTTGTTCCTTCTTCATGCAATGTACTTGTTGAACAAGTTTGACATCACCAAAACAAAACCACACCTTTATACCTTTCAAGATCTCTCGTTCGACTCGAAGGTGAGGCCACACCTTACATCGTTCAGCGGCCTCAACAGCAACACCTGAAGACCACACCAAGATATCCTGTCCGGATGTTCTCCAGCGATCTTCTTGGTCTCAGGCGCTCAACAGTCACGGAACGATCTCCACCCGGACCCAAACCCGTTCTTCCTCGTCGTGTTTCCGTCTGCGTGACCTGCGATCGATCCACGTCCAGTTCACCCGGAACCAGATGATCTCGAAATAAGCCGGGTAGGTGCCCTTTGCAAGATGTCCATGGTGCTTCATGAATGGCTTTAGGACATAGGCAGCAAAAAGTTCAGCACTCTCAACCATGCCATTGGCCTCATCTGCCAAGGATTTTGCCAGGTATACAAAAGGCATCATGCTGGCGAACTTGTCGCACAAGTTGGCGGTTGTCATATCCACATGGGAGTTCTTCAGAATCTCAAAGAGTGGTGAAGTCTTCATCATCCTTCTTGCCAAGGTTCTCTCTCATCCGTGTTCTGAAGCAAGGCAAACAAAGCAAGACCGTTGGTCTCAGAGTGCTGAAGAAGTTCTGCCATGTTTTGATCCACAATCAACTTCTGAAGATTGACCTTTGCCATCTTCTCTTAAACCCTACCTGGCCCACATCCCCAGGTTCGGTGGGGTCCAACCACCGAACATGAAGATATGGGCCAGGAGCGCTAGGGAAACTGCATCATTTTAATGCAACTCTTCAGTAGCATGTCTTTGTTCACAGGTACCAATTTGCCACAAGCTTTCAATGACAGCGTGACCGACTAGTCAATCTCTTGTGTGTCCTCAACCAACGAGTGACGCATGATGTAGTCATCCAAGAAAGGGGTCTACTTCTAATGTTAAAACCTTCCAAGGAAGGACGATTAGTTGGAACAGTGAGTTGGTCAAATTTACTTACACTAACATTATCCTCGCTCATAGATGATGATACAACGTGCCAAGCTGAGAAAAGCACCGAGCAAAACGATAGTGGATAGTAGACTAAGGTTCAATTGTGTTCATCTATATAACAAGTTTGATGTGTTTCATCCTGACTCCGACTCCCTCAGTTTCCCTACATCTATAGGAAAACTACGTCCCCACAAGGCCTACAAGGCAAGAAAGCAGGGTTTCCACTGAGAGGGTTGACATGGTCGCTGCATCTGCGCGCCCAGCGTCTCGCTCCATCTGAAGCTTCTTCTCCGTCTGCAGTGTCTGCTCCCGCTCCAGCAGCTGCCGCTCCTCTGGTGCAGCCCACTGCGACGTCGAGTGCAGCTCACGATTTCCCATGTTGGACGCTATAAAGCCCTAGGCTTCCTGTCGAGCAGGTGGTTCGATCCCCCAAACCCAACCCAGCCACCTTTGAAATGGAGGTAGTTGGAGCCCTAGGGAAGACTAACAAGTTCAAAAAAGAGGATGGACGCGAGCAGGACGTCAGAACATCTCCTCCGATGGCTACGTCAGAAGTGTCGTCTTGTTGCAAAACGTATTCAGCACACCTGGTAGGTGGACCAAACCCTGGTACTGGTACAGCCCTAAGAATCCGGGCCCACAAATAGATAGGGTTTTTGAGGCCCCGGACCCCTGCCATGGAGGGTCCGACCCCTGCCATGGACAGCCCAAGGATTCTTAGGGAGTAGTCTATTCTGTTCCTTCTCAGAAGTCTATTCCACGGTTCCCGAGTGCCATGACGCCCCGGTGACGAGGACGGGTGCTGCGCAACGAGTGCGTCGAGAGCTGCTCTCGTATCGTCCATGTCCTCTCCTTGGCGATGAAGGACTGCTCCCGTTCGTGCAAGAGCTTCTTCTCCCTTTGCAGAGTCTGCTCACGTTCCAAAAGCCTCAGGCAAAAGGCTTTTGTGCTGAACTCATCTGCCCGGCATACAGGTGTTTTTTTTGAATAAACAATACCCTGCACGAGGAGAAATGTAAGAAATAACCTTAAAGTGGAAGCCTTAAAGCCAACCATGACGATGATGCTCTCCTCTTTTGTCTTCAGAATAGTCAAGACCCGATGTTGCAGGAATCTTCCATGGTGAGACGGCAGGGTAAATCCCCTTAGCTTGGATCTAAGTAGCTGTTTCTCCTTTGCTTGCAGCAACTCCTCCCTCTCCCGCAGCTGTTTCTCCTTCGCTTGCAGCAACTCCTCCCTCTCCCGCAGCTGTGCAGCCCTGTGGTCAGCAGGGCAGGCCCATGGTGAAAAGACGAGACTCGATACCGAACTGGTGAGGTCTGAGGTGTGAGAAAACCAAGCGGGGGGGAACCCCGTGGACATAACAAAGGACCTGGCTCTTGGAGCTGTTTAAGATGTTATTCCATATTATGTATGCATATATGTTTTCTGAGTAGTCGTTAGATTGTGGGACTAAGGAACAAGAGCACTGGTGTGTTTCCACCAGACGTATTGAGTGTTGAATACAACCTCGGAACTTGCGCCTTGCGCTGAGTAAATGGAAACACAAACATTGCACAAAACCACCGGAAGTCATGGTACATTGCAGACCATTTTATAAAGACCTAGCTTTCAAGGAACGATCAACTTCCCTGGTTTCGGGGGGTGCTTGGAGGGGATCTGTGGATGATCCAGGTCCTGAAGGTCCATCGCTACACGGAAGGAGCTACGGAAGGAGCGACGGATCCTGGATACACTGGATACCCTAAAACCTTCCATATGAGGGTCCGACCCCTCCATATGAGGGCCCAGGGTCGCGTCTGGGAAAGACGATATGTTGAGAAAAAACTGAAGTAAAGGACCATTCCTCTTTGTGCTCACCGTTACGGAACGACCCTTCGTGTCCTCTAGTCTGACCGTTCTTCGGAGCTCTGGTTCACAGTCCGCCCAGTCGGCCCAGTTCGATGGCTGCTTGGTTTCTATATTGGAACGCAACAAATGAGTCAGGACCGGTGGTTGGCATCCAGAAGTACAGGTGAATCAGTCATAATCATTCTCCGAAAGCACCACCCCGGCAGTCGAGCTCCAACCCTCTAGGGATCCCAGTCTAGCTCTCTTCAAAAAGGATCCGGTGATGTGTACACTCTCGGGATCCGGCCTGGCATCCTCGAAGCCGCGCTCCTGGTGGAACAGACTCGGAGCGAGGACGGGCCTGGTCCCGGTCTGGGCCAAATGGGACCTGGAACAGTGATACCAGTGCTTTGCATTTACTCCTGTGAACATGACCACAATGTAATCAAATTTAGTATACTATTCCAGAATATTCCATACATGGATGGTTTGGGATGTATGATTTGTATGATGTATTCAAATCGTTAGCTAGAGGGATGTGTCCTTTGAGAATGGGGTACATGTGCGTAACTCTTCCAGTCCCATGGATGGTCTAGGATGGATAGGTATAACCTATACTCTTTTCAACTTGGGTACCAACGGAGGGTCCAAGCTCTGAGTGACATAAGCTTGAACTCTTTAGTTTGGTATGGCTTAGTATTGAGCAAAGAACATCAGTCTGTTTTTTGTTTGTCCATGAGAAAAAACAAACAGGAAACGCAGGCTTTTTTTTAAAGGAGTTGTTGACTTCTGTTCACCGCTCACTTGGGGACGAACAAAACAACAGTTTCAGTCTGGGCGAATCAATTTTCACCCTGGCGAACTCACCTCTCTCTGAGCAGTGGGAAAATATTGGAAAAACATCTTATTCCATCTCTTTTTGAGATGAAGTCAACCCACCAATCCGCCTGGCACAGCGGCAAGCACTAACCAGCACCACCTAGTTCGCTTTGTTTTCTTTGACATACCTAGGTCAGGGGTCTCTATAAACCACCCAGAAAGTCTGCGGTGCTGGAAGTCACTCGTACTGGCTTAGCCCAAGCACTGTTTTTGAGATGTTTCGAGATGCAGTCTAGCAAAAGAGAGACGTGGGGTATTAGCTCACAGCGGCAAATGGTAGCAAGTGAGTCAATGATAGTGGATATATAGAAACCACTGTTTATCTACCAAGTTCACTGGCAGCGACATCCTCCAATTTGATGGTACTCCCCAAACCTGTTGAATGGATGTCCATCCCTCTCCATGCCCAAGTCTTTGACATACAAAACTTGTTCTTTAATGCCCAGACGCTCATGGGCCCTCATATGGAGGGGTCGGACCCTCATATGGAAGGGTCTGGGAGTCTGGGGTCTCAAATCCCTACGTTTTGAGGGACCCAGGGCTGTTTGGAGCGTCTGGGTATATACTTGGATTGGAACCTTGATTTTTTCCAGAACGGAATCAAACCACCGGAACCTATTGAGAGGTTGAATCCTTTTTGTTGCGGCCAATCACCGAACTGTCCCTTCAACCAAAACGTCGGTGATCGTCGTCCTCGCTGGACCCGTCGGAGCCGTTCCTGCCAAACAAACGGTTCGCACCACAGGTCGCAGGTCCCCCAAGTTCTGGAAAAACACACAGCTACTGCTACTGTAGCAATATGATGTAATATGTAATACCCTCAGAATCTGTGCAGGGTTTGGTTCGGGTCCAAACCCCTGCTGCGGTGTCGGGTCCGACCCCTGCCATGGAGAGCACGGACTCGGATTCTTGGGGTAATCACATGGTGTGTGTGTGTGTGTGTGTCAGAAATAGGGAGACCCCCGATCTAGACCCCCTGGAAGGTTCGGATAAGCCATTGGTGGGGGGGGTTCCCCTATTGCAATACACACGTGCTGGCAACTGGCTGATGAATCAAGGGACAGTGGAGAATGTTCCTCGCCACGAATTCGTACAAGTACTTCCTGTATGTAGGTCTACAACCCCCCCCGAACCCCAAACCACCTGGAGAGACTTGCCAGGCGTTCAGGCTCGGCCCATTGACCAGTCTACCATCGGATCTCCCCGAAATACACACCGTTACACACCCAACTGAAGTCATAACCCAAACACTCCATGGGACTGCCATATATGCCTACATTGGGGTGGTTTTGGGGATCAATGTAGGCATATATGGCATATATGGAGTGTTTGGGTAATGAACCCTGCTTTTGGTGTGGCGGCCTGCCCAAAAAAATGAAACGCCCAAACCCGCGACCCAACCTGCTCCCGAAGTTCAACCCAAGCCACGAGTGGGTGTGGCTGCCACTCACATCTGACCACTTCAGTGGAAAATCACTGGGTGTTCACCATCACCCAACGGTCCCAACCTTATTAGTCACCCCCAGATACGACGATCCATGGGACTGGCATATTTATTCCATGACTCATGACCCCCCTTTCAATCAACCACCCCCAATGTATGTAAATATGCACATGGAGTGTCTGGGATATTGGTAATCGAATTCGATCGTTTTTTCGCGGAAGAACCATGGTGCAATGGCCTAGTCATCGGGGCCAAGCCATCGCATCCACGCCAAGCCATCGCAGAAGACACGACCGACCAGTCCATGGACCAGTCACATCGCTCATCACATCGCTGGTGTTTTGGTGGGAGCTGAGATCCTTTTCCTTTTTCGGCCACGGGGGTGTCTTGAAAAAGCGCCCCCCGCAAATCCAAAAGGTATCTGGGCAGAAAAGAACAGCCAAATTAAATGATTTCTTCGAGCTCCAACCACATCCTCAGGTTCAGTGTTTGGGGTGGGTGCCAAAGGGTGTGACCCTACCTTCCGAGGTGGTTGAAGGCTCGGTTGGGACAGGTTGTGGCCGGAGTGTCTGGGTGGAATCTGGATAACTATTCCAGTTATAACTATGACTATTCCACTTCCATGGATGCTCTGGGCTTTCCACCTGGGCACAGTCTACCTGGTCTACCGGAACCCGGTGCAGAGTTCTACCGGGTCCGTCTACCGGGAAGACTCCAGAATGTCACACGGACCGAACCTCGACGTGCGGTCCTGGACCGCGGTCACAACATGAGTGGTTCCAACTGATCCAATCAAAGTTGATATACCACTAACTGTAGTGGTATACTTATAACATATATAAGTTCAAAGCATACTTTTGAGATAACATATAAAGTTCAAAGTTCAAAGTATATATATATAATATATACATATATAAGTTCTACTTTTTTTTCACCAACCTGAAACATCCACCCTATCCAATCAATCTCCAGATCTTCCAAAGAATCGAGTGGCTCTATAGATTTGCTGATTTGCTTCACGGCAGAAAAGGTTTCTCCTTCCCAAACGTCCAGGGCTGGGGACTTCGGATTCACATCCTTTCCAGCCATGTTCGAAACGGAGGAAGGCAGTCCTCTTCTTCTGATCCAAATGCCGCTTCAGAGTTTCAACCTGTGGCAGTTCTTCCACATTGACCTTCTTCATTATTTGTCTATTTTCTGAAATTATGTTTGTAGTGACATTGTAGTGAAATTCTGTCTGGCACACACGTCCATCCTCTCCTAGTTGTTTAAAAAGGGACAGCAAAATCAGCAAAGTCGAGGAACATTTCAACAAACAGCCTGAGACGGGTCATAATGGTCATATTATGCCAACTAACCAACATCCTTCCAATCTGTCGAGTAGAGACAGCAAGCACCCTGGTGGCAAGTACGGTATCAAAGAAATCCAGTTGCCATGCCAAGCTTCCATCCCACCATGCAACAAATCCTATCCCACTCTGAGTCCCACTCCCGCCAAATAGTGCTTTATCATGACTGACTTCCTCTCGCTGCGACGAGTTCGTCAGCTGCTCGCTACTTGGCCTGCGACGTCTGCTCGTTCAATTGGCGGTTGAGCCTACAGCCCGGTGCTGTGGACACGTGAGAGCCGGGAATGGTAGGAATAGATTGGGTGAAACAGGGAGGAACTCCCCCTCCAAACAATCATGGAAGTGGACAGTTTAACGGAAAACGATGTTCCTCTACTAAGAGGGGGTTGCCCATTTCCATGTTCTTGGAGAGAAGGTCAAAGAGGGTAGCATTGTCGAGGAAGCATGGGAAGTGCCATTTACTTACATGGGGCAACCACTGAGGTTGGAGAAAATGCGGGGATCTAGACTTCAGTGACTTCACCCCTCCATTGACCGGGGATTGCGGCGTGCTAGGGGCAACCAAAGGAGGGGCCCCTGACCAATTTTGTTTCTTGTGGTTCTTGAGAACAAAAATGGAGAAAGTTGGTCAATTTCTCCATTTTGTTTCATTGAGAGGAGAAAAATGGAGAAAGTCGAGGACCAGGACCCTCCGACGCCAGGGTGTCCTGGCTGGACTACCCCACACTACCCCACACGGCTTCCAAACAGGGCACCCCGATGGTCGGATGGTCCGGGGAGGTATTGGTGGAAGTTCTGGTGCAGGTCGTGGTTGCTCTCCGAACTCATTGGAGACCCACCGCAGTGCTTGGTGGAGACCTAGGTCATCAATCCACTTGCCTGCACTCGTCTGTTGCCGAACTCAGTGTCTACAATGGTCTCAAGAACAGGTTCTTCACGGTTCTTCTAGTGGAGCTAGATGGAGCTAGTAATTCACCAGAGTGGTGGGTGCCGAAGATCGGCTTTGGAAGACAACCCTGGCCCCCTCGGCCTCAGAGGCGGTCTGTCAACGAAGACCAGCTGTTTGGGCATCGTCCGAGTCAGTCGATCCAAAGACGATGTTCTCTTGCTGCATCTGATGTAAAGGAGGGCTTCTCTTTTTCCTTGAACCCTAGGTCAATCATTTTTTAACAAAATATAGTCTTTGACTCTCAGGCACTATAATGTAGATTCTTGATTAGTTAAGCATAGTTAAACCTCCAGATGAAGAGGGCCTAATTCAAAAGGGTGGATATTAATCAAGAGTCTACATGATAGTGCTATTTCGGGGAGTGCAAGGGGCTTCGAGCAAACTGAAACTCATAGACCTTCCTACAATGTCCATTGATTTTTTTTGGTCCACGTGCATTTTGGCCAGCGTTGCAGCTTGGCCAGGTACTTCTGGAGCGTCCTTCTGCATCCTTCATCACTGGTACAAGATGCCGCGTGATTTCCGGTTCATTGCCGCATCTTCTCTTCCCAAACATGCTCTTACCGATTGGAACTTCTGAGTGCTACGGACGCCTCTTTCGTTCCCAGATCTGGCCCTCGACCAACACCAGTGAACTACTTTTCTCCAGGATGCACGGGTAGACACCAATGTTTGCTATGGCTTGACGCCAGCTCTATGTGTATGGAAAAAGCATCTACACTTGGGCCTGTACCTGTTGTAAAAAATGACAGGCCGCCACCCTGTTTAAATTTAGAACCGTTCGGAAAAAACAATCAAATGACAACAACACTATACCCAAACCATCCATGGGACTGCGACCGTTGCTTACATGGACGGGTCAGGTAAATCATGAACAAATGTTTGCAACCAATACAGTCCCATGAAATGTCTGAGTATATGCACCGTAAAAGGCAGGACTTGTTCATGCCAGAATCTGACACTGCATGGGACTGCCATTGATAAAATCTGATCAATTGGGGTGGTTGATTGACCCGAGGTCTTGACCAACTAGGGGCGGCCCAAAAAAAGAACCGTCCTCCACCGAAAACAACGTTGGTCGTGTCGACAGATCGAACATGATCGAATCAATCACTGCCGCCCTGAGATCCATCGAGCCTGTGAAGTTCTTGATCCAAATCCCCCTGGCGGCCAACCAAGGCAACGTATTCGCGACGCGTTTGTGGCGGTCCTTGAAGAACCACCACCACAGCGGGTGTGTGTAACCCTGTTTCAAAGGGTATGTTTTTAAAGGGGGACTGCAACGCTCTATCCTCTCTGAAGTTATTCTGTCCAATGAAGCTACACATCACAGAGGTTCAATCCAAGAAAAACGGGTTTTCTGAGAGTTGAGCTACACACAGCTATCGAGCTGCTGGAGGCCGCACTCAAGGACAGAAAGTCAGTTGCCAACTCTTCCTCCAGCATCATAACACTTTGAGCAGTGGAGGTCCGAGATTGGATCGGTGGCTCTTCCACTCAGAATTGATGATGCACGTGATGGATGCGGTGGCTCTTCATACATTGGTTCTTCTGGCTCTTGTGGTTCTTGTTGTTCTTGTGGTTAACCGTTCTGCGAGGACGAATGTTGCGGTCCTGATTGTCTCGGTGTGCCCATCTGAAACATTCGTATACCCAAAGATGTATTCATGGACACTGCTGGATATGGTGACCACAACACGCAAAGCACTTGCATCCGCTTCAAAAGGCAGGTTCGTGTGCTTTGGTAGCAGACTCAGTCTGGTGAGGTCCAAACTTGTTCCACGAACCAGGAAAACCTCACCGCTTTCCCACAGCGGCTGGTGGTGTTGAATCGCTTCCTCAAACCTGGTGCGGACAGCGACCCACACAAGGTGCTGTGACCAGGTCTGAGTTTGGTGGTCCTTTTCGGCAACTTGGCCAAAAGGGATGTAGAGCTTCAGACAGTCAGAGTCAGTGCTCTTGTTCAGGAATTCAGTGTGGACTGCAGCGACTTCGCCGCTCTGTACCGACTGCCCCATACTGCAAACTTTCTCGGTTGGCCCCTGTCGATATTTAAGCCATGGATGTGTACCTGCTTTGATCGACGACACTACGAAGCGATTCTTGTCTCGCTCCCAAGCTGGAGGCAGAGTTTGTCGGCAAACTTGTCTGTCGGTTCGCTTTCTTAACTACCGCGATGAGGGATTCCTTCGTATCGCTCACTAAAACATGCTACAGCAGGAGGCTTTCCACTCTTTGATTTTTTACTTATATATAGCGATACAATCGAGAGATATTTCTGTGACCCAGAAACAGTGTGGCTCAAGGCGCAGGGCGTTGTGGCTCAGGCTTTGAGGCTCAGACCTTCAGGGGCCAAAGAGCCCACTGTACGTCCTACGGGCGGTATCCCCGGGCCGCGAACTGAGCCATGGCAAGGCAGCGGGGCTTATCAACAAGATGGAGAAGCCAAATCCATGGGAAGATCATACGGCAAACTGCTGAGGGCAGGCAACTTCTTCGACTTTGGACACTGATGTGGATTGTCCTAAAGAGTATACCAGAACCAAACATCGTTTTCGCCCGTCTGGGGGGAAGAGGTGGAGGGATGGTCGCCACTACCCTACCAAGCATTTTACTTGGCATGGGTGCAATGGTTGGGTTTCTTTTGCAGTCTTGGAAGCTTGCGGAATTCCCTCCAGGTGGGTGGGGCTCCGGTGGGTCGCAAAACAGTTTCTACGTTCAACAACTTCTGTGACAAGGGATGACAAGGGTCGTGTGCAGGTTTTGACCCACAAAACCAAGTAGAAAAAGGAGTTGCAACACCGGAATATACCTTGAGTCACTGGCTCCTCGTGCGCCAGCCGCTTTTTGCGTACGGTTACGTTCCGGCCACTGTAGAGGGCGAGGTGTGCGCAGCCTATGTCATTCCTGTTGAGATTTACTTAGAATGATACTATAGTGTACGCTTCCCATAGCAGGGTGGTTTGCCTTTGTCTCGGCACTTGAGCGCAGGTCCCTTTATTTGAGATTCTAATATGAAATCGTCGGTGGCTTCGCTGTGACATGCCTGATGTTGCCAACTGAAAACCTCTTGGCAACCTTATCCCGGGACTGTCCCTGTTCTTCCTGACAGTGGTTCGAGTCTTGGCAAAGCAGCAGCAAATTCCTTATGTTGAAGCTGGCCTTCTTGTGACTCGATTCTGGTACTCTCATGTACTTCCTGTCTTCTTCTCTTGTCTCTACTTCTTCGACGCACCGCTTTCGGTACGTCACGCTCATGTACCATGGCAATCTGGCTCAGAACGCAGCGCAACCCGAGGAACGGCGACAAGACGCCGACGACCCGAGGACGGCAGCTCCCCTTTCCACCACCGCGCTTCGAGGCCCGAGGCCCGAGGCCCTTCCTTTTGTAGCACATGTGGTACACATCTCTTCTCTTCTGCTTTGCATCTACGCTGAGCCATCTGTCTGCTGCACGATGGTCCATGCCCATAGCAGGAGCATCGACAAATTCATCGAAGCAAGTGACCATCTGTTGGGCAGTTAGCCAGCCACATACCAGTAGCTGTTCCTGCCTGGTGAAGTTGGAAGATCCCAAGGGTAGCCCATCTAAACTAATTGCTGGCAACGGATGACGAATCATGTCGGCTTGCATTTCTTCCATGATGCGACTGCAAACAATTTCAGTCCGCTTCAAAATCTCTGCGCTGTGACATTTTTCTCCAACGTCTGACCCCTCCAGATCTTTGCGGGCCACTTCTGCAACGAAGTCAGAAAAAGCTCTGCCTTGGGATGCAGTGCCGAAAGCAGTCGTCTAGTTTTTGTATCTACAGGTGGTATACAACCTACTATAAGCAGCTGCTGATGCACGATTTCTTCCATCCACAATATCACACGTGGTCTTTTTAGGGCTCAAGCGGCATGTCAGCTGCAACGCTTTAGCTGGAAAGCTTTTGAAGCCACGGCTGTGAGCTTGGACGCGGCCACAGTTTGCAGTCATGCATCTATGGCGCCGACTGGTATGGCTGAGTGCAGTGCAGCCCTTCCCCTTCAGGAACGGCGACGCGACACCAGTGACACCAGTTTACCCATGGCAGTGGGTTCTTGAATCCCGCTGACGGCGACGATATTTCATTGTCAGACGGCGACTCCATGACGACCGTCATGGGTTTTGATATGTCCAAAATACCCCCCCCGCCGGTGCGATGTTCCTTGAACAGTCCGGTCAGCGTTGACCAACTTAGCAATGATTAAACCCACAAGTCATCCGTTGTCTGCCATAGAACTGTGAACTCTGTCATTTGTAGAGTTTCTGTACAGGACAAAAGCAATGATAAAAATATTACACTCCCGAAAACTAACATAGACCCTGACAATGGTCCCATGGAAGACTATTTTCCTCTACCAACCAGGGGTTGTCAGGGTCCATGTTAGTCTTCCAGAGTGCACCATAATATTTATTAAACGTCTTTCTGGGCAAATGAGACCATTTCAGACCACGTTTTCCTTGGACATCGCATTTGGTTTAGCCCGGTTTTTCTTCCGCATGGACTGGCAGCAACTGCCCCGGGAGACTAGCTCCAAAGCCTGGTAGGTTGACCTCCCTGGTACTGGTGCCATGGCCCAACTGCCATATAAACCAACATTGATCCCTTTGCAAACACCCCTAGCTTGATCGGGAGTCATATGGTGGGGGAGCCTGTTTCAGGGACATCAATTTGAATTCACATCCGAGAAGGCCAGGAGGGTCCCGCCCGAAGTTTCCAGAAGAGGACCTTCTAAGGAAGGGGACGGACCATCTCACCGAACCGGCGCGCCAAAGAACCGCAGCCAAGCTCCATGGAGTCTGAAGAAGAGTTCTTTGACGATCCCTGTTCTCTTCACCCTAAGACTCATTTGGAAACCTGCATGAGACCAGCTGCCACCAGACTGGAAACCGAAACCTCCGCAAGGAACCCAACGAACAGAGGGAGACAACCAACAAAAACCTCCTTTCAAACAGAACGGCCCCCCCCCCAACTACTAGCGCGCCAGACTCCTCCTATCTCTCCTCTCTTCCGCGCCGGATGAGACGTCGCCTGCCACACTTGAGCTTTCTGCTCCATCTCAGAGATCTTCTTCACCACATCCACCTCTCCGCCGAGTTCGGCGAGTTCGGCAGAACCAGCGCCCGTCGGCTGGGGGCTGGTGGGTTTCTTGAGCCAAACGGAACAAAAGACAATGTACAGGATGCATTCCTTCCTGAACACCACTGGACACCACAAAGCTATCCAACACTTGACCGGCCATTTTGGTGAATCCGTTTCAATTCGATCCTCAAAATAAGGGTGGGGCGCCGGTCCAAATGCGTGTGGTGCCATCTGATCTTTGTCGGGTTCTTGCGACTGCGTGATCTTCACCATATGTCTTGCCATCTGAACTTTGATGACTGTAATGACCGGTCTACTTTTGGGGGGCTCCTAGTGTAAACCCATACACTCCATGTATGGTCCATATGCCGCCCCATTGACCTCCCTGGCACCACCCCAATTGATCGGCATATATGGAGTCCCATGGAGCGTCTGGGAAATGATGATACAGTCATGTACAGTGGTTTCAGAGGTTCGATGGCACCATCCCCAAGTTTGGTTGTTGATATGGATACCCATATGAGACGTCAATCTATTGGTGCCATCAATCTACTCTGAAACCGCTGTTAATGTATAGACAACTATTCAAGTCCCATTCCCCTTGGTCTGGGAGATGAGGGATTGACCTCACCTCCCCTGGGAGTCACCACTTACCTGGCCGGGGCCCAAATGAGGCACTGGACGAGTAGAAGCACACGCTTGGACCGGTCTTGTGCGACAGGGAAATCAAAAGGAAAGAACATGACTGTAATAACTGTAGTATGTGTTGTGTTCTTTGTGTGTTTGTTAACATGACTAACTGTAGTATGTGTTTTGTTATCATGACTAGTTATGTGTTGTGTTTTGTGTGTGTGTGTGTGCTAACTCATGTCTTGTCGCCTTTATGTGTTTGTTGTTTTTTTGTTTTGGAGTGGCTGGATCTTTTCAGGAATCTCTACGGCTTACAAAACTCCCCTCTGAACCCCTGGAACAAACATAGAAGTGGAGTTTATCCCCCTGTGGTGGAGGAACATGGTCTTCCGAAATCGGGGCCATGCCAGTCTGCTCCAACCTCGCACATCAGCTGCGCCGCATGGCCATGCTTCGATGCGCGAACGAGAAGGTGCCCGCGTTCCGCGCGAGAGGCACGGGGGGTCAAAGGACTGGGATCTTCCGGATTTTCACCCTGGGGAGATTGGAAAAAACTCGGCAAAACTCGACTCTTGAACATCTTGGATGTCTGAACATCTTCGAGCGAAACAGCTCTAGACTGTCTGTTTGTTCAAAAACCATTGAGCTCCGAACTGGCGAACCCTTCGGGGGGCAGGACAGTCCTTCCTCCGGAGGCTGATTCGGAAGAGAGCTAATGAGTAAAGAAGGACAGTCGAGCATCATCAGCTCCAGTGAAATCATCACTGTCATGTATACGTATTCCATGTCCACAAGTCTGTGTTCGGTCATAGGCACTGCACAACATGACAAACACCACTGGAATATTGACCTGCAAAGTTTTGAGGTTCTGTTAAGTTGCTTTGTTTTCTTGAAACTAGTGAATGCAAAAATACCCCTGGGCCTACTGCGAGTGCACTGGCCGCCGATATTCGATTGAGGCAAGAGCGTGTAAATTCTAAGCGACTAAGGGATTTTGCTACCAACCATGCTACTAACTGAAGAATTTTGCACTGCTTGCTAAGCTAATAGATTTCCAGTGCCCCAATACTACTGTCACTGTAGTAATAATTGCGATGTGATAAGGATAATAAACCCTCCAAGGTTTTCATTTTACGGGTTTTCATTTTACGGGGGTCAAGTCAAAGGTCAACCAATAAATGCTCTCTAGAACTGGGCCAAACGCGCTGTGGGAAAAAAGATCGCGTTTGGGAGACCGCCACGCAGACGTCTCAGCTGGAGCCCAACGTCAGCGATCGAAAGGGCAAGTCAAACATCGTTCAGCACATCCTGGAATCACCCAACATGGTCCCCAAAGCATCCGGGCTGGAAATAGTTACTATACATGGACCCATACATTGATCAATTCAATGACCCAATAGTCAATTGATCTCCAATGTCTATGAACACAGCTCCGGTCGGGGAACATCCAACTCACCACTGTCGGTGTTCAACCGGGAATGGCTTCCCACACGACCCTTCAGACCACCACGTCAAACGTCGAAACATCCATTCTCACCGCGGAATGGCTTCAGTTCTTGAGCTTCAGTTCTTGAGTGGTTGATGAGCACCTGAATATCTCAACTGGGCCTGGACCTTCGTTTCAACCATTTCTTGGGAGAACATGTTTTTTGGCGGAAGAAATCAACGGGGCAGTTTTTGCATGTTTTCTGGAGGTTTCCTGGTGAACCTGCAACACTGTTCAAAAAACCATGTTGTTTCCTTAGCTGGAAACAAAACCCAGAAATACCACGTACAAAATTACCCGGTAGAATCATCAGAAATCAGAACGTCTGTCCCTTTCAAGGCCTGCGCCTAAACCGTTTGTTGACTACAGTCGAGCCATTCCGAAGTTGAAAAGTTTATATGACCTCTCGGGAGAACGGTTCAATTGCATCTCTCCACAAACACTTGTCATTCCAAAATAATAATGAACAACCAAAACATGTCACCTCTCCACCCAAAAACAACAATCTGGTGCAAGGCGGCGCAGAGCCCATCAAGGCCCTAAGAAATCGTGTGGCAAAGCACGTGACCAAGCAACCAACACGTGCGTGGCCGAAAAACGGTCGACCACGCATCTGGATCGCTCAACGGTCCGACCACCGTCCGACTGAAGCGGGATCAGGTCGGTCAAGGAACTGGGGGTTGAAAGGGTCTGAACAGAAAAAACACATAAAACAAAACCAATGTGGGGGTCGAAAATTATCTGACTTGCTTCGATTTGCTGAGTTAAGGAACTTGGAAGGAACCTGGAAAATTGCATTCCCCAGAAGGGGGTTGATTTATCCATATCTAAAAAGAAAATATAAAGTCACCTTAAACAAAACAAACTTATCTTAAACCCGTCCTTCACCAAAACACATTGAATCGGACAAACACCCAGCCTAAGTCCATGAGTGGCATATCAGCTTCCAAGTCGTCCTCTTTGCCGACCATTTTCTTCGTGACCTGCGGACCGGTGCAACTGAACCATCGAATATCCGCGTCTCTCGACAGGCGGAGCCCTGTGCGGGGTGAATTTGGAGGTACTTGGAACCTTATGGAACACATGTCACAACACTATACTATGCAGGAAACGTTGCTGTAAGATTTTGAGTCACGCAAGCATAACCAAACACTTCTAGTCCTAGTCATTTTTGTAGCTGTTTATATATAAATATATATATATTTAATACCTGGAACTGCGGTGGGCTGTACATGTTTTAGACTCTTTGACTTTTCAGTCTGAGATGAAAAATCCTAGAATATTAGTTCCTAGTAAAAGTACTGGTTTGTGAACAGGCTTTGTAAAATAATGAAAATCCATGTCCACATCTTCTTTGGCACCCGTCCTTCAGATGGCAGAGTCTTTTTATCGGAGAACCCTTATTCTAAGAGTTAAACGAAGGTACCAAAAATAGAAGCTGCTGTTTAGGGCATGTCTTCAATAAGCAAACGAAGACCTTCGTCAAAGTCCAGTAGCTTCGTTCGTTGCAGCACGGACAACGCTTCCCCCAACGACGAACAGCTCCAAAGTTGACTCTGAAGCCGCCCCATGCGCAACAGAGTTGCAAGCAACAGACCTAAGGTATTAGACCGGGCCCAGCCCCCTGCCAAACGGGGTTGATCATGTTAACACATCAAGCATGAACTTGACTGAATTTGTCATCCCCGACGACACCGTTTCGGCGTCGTATTGCGCAGGCTTTGCGTCGTATTGCGCTGGTTTCCGCGTTGCATGTGTTTTTAGTGTCGTTTTTTTGGGGGGTTTGGTCTTGTGTTTTTGGGCTTTTGCGTCGTGTTCTCAAGCGTTGCGTTGTGTTGTTCAGCTCTTCCAACTGTAATTAAGAAACGACATAAAGCTGTGAAAAATGCGCGAAAAGTGACACTTTCAAGCTTGAAAGGCCAGATTTAGAACATATCAAATCAAGAAAAAGTTGACGTTCAACACACTAACTTCCAGGTTTGTCCTTTTCTGCAGAAAGTGACCTGATTTCTTCCAATTGAATCCGAAGTGGACGGACTTTAGACTTTCTTCCGCTGCTCTGGCACCCGCAGGGAGTTGGGTAGATTGATAAAGGTAGCAAACTAGGCGCTTCATATTGGCAGCATCCCAACAACCCCATGCGTTGAAATGGTTCCATGAACATCTCCAGCGAAGTTTAGATGGAAATTGCTCTCCAACTGTGTATTAACCGTTTTCCCCTTGTCCTTGTGATTGGCATTTGAAATTTGTTTCTTTCATGTAACTACGATGTTTTTCATCTCACATTCAGCTTGTCAAGGCAGAAAGGCGAATCAAAAACATTTTAAGCTGCGCATGTTTTGAAGCGAGCCTGAAAAACGTGCATCTGAGGAAGCTCCAGGTATGGGTCTACCATGGTCTACTTGTCTTCACACCCACAGAGGAGATCAATCACAAACATGTATCTGGTCCTCTTCGTTCTTTCGGGTCAGTTTGAACTGGGACAAGTGACCTGGCACTGATGAAACTGTCTATTATACATGTGGGTTAACCCATTCAACATGTTCCCAAGGAAAGCAGAAGTGGTGGGAACAGCTCCAACACAAGAAACATCACAATCTACTTGTATTCCCCTTTTGCCGCCCTTTTGCCGTCGCCATGCTGGTCCCGAAACTGCCATGTTCACCGCGTTTTACAGGGACCAGGTTGCCCGTGATTGTTAAACCGTACATGGCCCCCCCCCCACAAAAAGGACCACAATGTGTTTTCCCGAAACACAGAGAGGAAGTGGTTCCTGCTCATGTTCAGCCATGTTTGCTCCCCAAAAAGCAGGCTTGTTGATGATGTCCCATGACAGCTCTGTGGTTTTCCGGACAACTCTATGTCGTCTTGCTTTCCGTGATCCATGTTGGAGTATTCGAGTCTGTATACAGAAAGGCTTCTGTGCTTATGGAATCGCGCAGCTGGGCAAAACTTTTGCGGTGGCGCAGCAGAAGATGTTGGCATAGCTTTTGGCGCCTTGGTGCCTGTCGAAAAAATATTAGCATGAATCGAGTGACCAGGCTAGGTCCCAACAAAATTCTTGGAATTGCCCCCTTCTTCGACAGGTTTCTTCTCGTATGGGTGAAGTGGCATTGAAAGCTTGTTGAGTGTCACCATCATTTTCAGGATCAAGTCGACGAACCGTGGGGACAAAGGGGAGAGGCAGCATAATGAACCCGCTCAGACTGTGAGGTTGTGTGTTTGTGCACATGAACACAACAGCCACGTATATACCTTGCCCCACGTTCGCTTCGGCAGCACGGTGCTTCCCCGTACCTCCTGGATAGTGGCTTTGACCACAGCAGGGTCGGGGCCCGACCTGGGCACTGCGGGAGTGGGGATTCTACTGCCAGGTGAGGTATAGGGCGTATGAGCACGCGCCTCGAGCCGCCACCACAGTGAACCAACACTTCTGTTCCTGTTGTGTGGGGTGTCCCAAATCCCCAAACATATCCGGTTTCCCGCTGACTAGGTGGGTAAGATGGCTCACTGGAAGTTCTGAAGATACGATGGAACGTCCAATGCCGGCAAAACAACATGAAAATAACAGCTCAATCCACGTGCATCTTGGATCCTGTTGCGAATTGGTCTAATCCAATGATAATTCAAAACATCAACAAACAGGCTTTAAACCGGTCTCCAAACATTTGTGTCCAACAAAAGAGAGGATCTTTCCTGTAGTCCAGACGGTTCAACTCAATAATTTGATATCGAAATATTATGAGGCCCATGGGAATGCAAGTAGGTTTTTTCATGGACCCCTAGCAGCTTGCAACCACCCCAACTATACATCATGGAGTGTTTGGGTATTCGGCGGCATTGATTGTTGTGCACAGTGTCTTGTAAAATTGGGTGAATTAAATGTCGTGTGTTTCCGTCAGTCTGTGGGCTCCAAGCAAAATTCGCGGTCTTTTGCGTGTCAATGACACAAACACTCCATGTATGGAATATGTAGGTCAAATACATATTCCAGTCCCATGGGTTGTGGCTGATGCCATGTCCCTTGAAATCAACTGTCACCCTGGCAGCTTGATGAAACACTTCGTCCTAGAAGATGAGCAAAAGGATCTGTGGGCCGAACATGTTCGCTTTTCGACCATCACCAACTCACTCACTGAAGTCGGACTCTTCATGCTCACTGAGGTGAAGCACCGACATGTTCCTTTCTCCCTCACCAATGGCCAGTGGTTCCTTTGGATTCCGGATGAGAAGAATCAGGGGTCACCACTCACTCAAGTCGGACTCTGAGAGAAAGCGACCCATCAACTGACCGTAGTTCCCAACGTATGATGCTTCAACAGTCCCATGCTTTTGAGCTGAGGGCCGCACACCAATGGCAACGCCTGAGGGTGCCACGACCAATTCGGCTCTGGATGCCACGATGGATTGGAGGTTCGAAGCTGACGACAGGCCGCTCCGAAAGGTTCCACCATGAGCGGGCGAATGGGACTGAAGGAGTGAAGAGTGGACGTCGATGACCCCTTAAGGAACTGCCAGGACCGAATCCACTCCGAGTGGTACTTCTTTTGGGGGGGACAGCTGTACACTGCAGTTCGTTCAAGTATTTTCGCCAACCTTTAAACTAGATGAGTCAAATACAAAGGGTTTCCGTGGTCGACCACATTCATTTTAGCTAACCGGTAGCAACGGCATGTTAAACCCCAAACAATCTGACCACTGCACTGCCCAGCTGCATTGTGACACCCTTCATCTTGTGTGCTTGCTTTCACCCCCAATGTAACAGGTTTTTTTGCAAACGAACCTCCAGGGAAAATGTTATAGATTTTTCCTGTGGGCTGCACTTGCAGAAAACTGCGGCTTTCAAAAAAAGAGAACGCACAAGACTAAAGGGTGCCATAACTTTTCTGAATTTTAAAGCAATGTAACTAGACACATGCGCAAAACAAAGCCCAAAAACCAAACTACCACAATCAGAAGCCAAACTACCAGAATCAAACACCATGGGTTTTACAGTAATCAACAAGGCTTTTCTTCACCCACTTTCTGTCACCTTTCTCCGATCTCTTCACTTCTTCCACCAGATGCCTCCGAGCGGCCATGCGGGGATCATAGCCGTAGGATCGATAGGCCGGCGCCACCGGTGCCTCGTCCACGCGGAATTCAAAGCCGCGGAGCTTGTTGAGGATCTCCTCCTCGGCGGAGCCGCGGTCTACCGCCCCGCTGAAAAGGACCAACGGAGGTTGAAGGACCCGTTCGTTTGACTGTGACTATTTGATGGCCAGGTACTGACTATCCCATATAGGTACTCCAGTATCATCAGGGTCCTATAAGGTCAATTAACCTCTGCATGTCAGTTGGTTCCATCATCCCAAGTAAAGATTGTCTGAAACAACCACCAGGAAATTCGGGGAAATGTGACCTGATTCAGGGTGAATCCATCGAATCCACTTGCATAGATTGTGGCAGTGATGGATCTTTCCAACAACATAATAAACTGTGTGACACGTGCTTTGGGGTTTGAAGCAAACCCACGTGGGACTGGAATTATGATCGATTTGATGTCAAATTTGGAGCAACAATTATCCAATGTCATACACTGCAGGCTTATTTAAAACTTGGAAACATTTGGAAACCAAAATAATCACATTGTGCTCTTTGTTGCAAATCTTTGTTCATCACACACAAAGCAGGGAGATCCAACTGGCCCACTTACGATCACGGAGACGCGCTAGTCCGGCCAATTATATCTACAGTACTCATCTGTGAACCACTAGTCACTCTTGTTTCTGGCACAAAAAAGGAGCGAAAAATTGGGCGCAAGCGCACTGAGCGGCCGGAAAGGGTTTGGTGTAGCAAGGGTTAACCCGTTTCAAGGCTTGCTTCGGATGTGTTCTTCATCAACTGATGGCGGTCAGACTGGTGACCATGGTCACACAGAACGGAACGACCGGAACGACCGGTAGGTTGACCGTGTCAGTGACAGGGAAACACCGGTGGATCTCCGGGTGACCCCTCCCCAGAGATGTCATAGCAACTATCTCCCTACAAGCCCAGTCTGACCCAGTAAAACCAGGTCAAAATGGTTTGCATGACTTAAGTGTTTTTGTATGCCCCCCCAAACTCCGGTAAAATGTTACGTAACATGCACTGACCCATTGACCTGGCGACCTGTCTTCCACATGTCGATGTTTCATGACGTTGAAGGTAGACGACCGGTGACGAGACGGAAGGGACCTGGTGTCAGACGACTGCGGAACGAGGAGCAAGGACCCCTTCCGGGACTCGGTGGAAGGGTGATGTCCAGTCTGGCTGAGGCGGTTCTAGAGAATCGAATGGCTGGGGCGGAACTGTACTTCTCTGAAAGTTGATGGTGTTTCCTGAAAGCCGAAGGGGGGCCCTTGGGACTGGGACTATATACCAAACACGTGGATCCAGGTGATCTAGTGGCCACTTGAACTAGATGTGGAGGTCACTGTATAGGCAAGCTCGACCTACCACTGGTTCACTCTAAGCGCCGCGCTGGGCTCTCCCTCGCCCCCCCCCAATGGACTCCCATCATATCCACCGCGCTCATCTGGTTGGTGGTTTCAAGTCACTTAAACTATCTCAACAATTTCAATGGATCCCAAGGGAAAACATGAACACAAATGAACACAACAGATGAAGCTGAAGCTGACCGACTGACCGACTGACCGACTGCTGACCGAGGGGCGACTTTGGCACTGGCCGCCTCATCGTCCATGCGGCCCAGCAGCAGCTCCGCCTGCCTCGTGGAGGTGGGATCGCACAAGGTGGGGTCGCTTGGCGAAGTGGCTTCAGAAATAGCTCTCTCTGGTCTCACGAGCTCTTTTGTTTAAGCAAAATGTGGAGAACCTGTGGGTGGTGTCTGAAATAGATCACTTTGGATTCAGTTGAAAGCCCTTGCTGCAAATCCGAACCAGTCCAGAAACTTCTACCTGGACCATCCAATCCACTGGGTGTTCAGTCTGAACATCTCCAAGTACGACCGGGTCGGGTAGTCCGTTGACCCATTAGATGGTCCTGGATGGTCCAGGTCAATGTCATGCGTCCGGGAGCCCACACAGCTGGTACGGTGAAGAGGTAAGCACAGGTGCTTCATGATGCCCCAAATCTAAGACCGCAGAACATCTTCATTTCCGACCAAACCTTTCTTTTGCACGGATTTTTTTTGAGAATGTGTTCACTCCGAATTCCTTAGTTTCCTGGAAAGCTTGCCAGTGCTTAGATTAGCTGCTAGTCGGTTGACCTCCAGTGATTTAGAAGTAAATCCATGTAAATCCCTCAGACATTGAGCAGGTTCACAAACGCAAGTCGAAGGAAAACACGACCATCACTGGTGACACCATGTGTACCGGTGACACCATTTGTGCTGTGAATTGTAAACTGATGGAAAGTGGCTTGGTCAATTCATGTCAATTCCAAAGAGTTGTCCCATGAAAGTTTGCTTGTGAACTTGCTTTGGCCATATACAACTTTCAGGTGGGTGAACATATATGTTTCCATCATTGTATTTGTGTGACCCTGCCAGCAACTCCAACCCCATCCCCAAAGGTCAAGGAGTCATCAAGAGCAAACAGTTCATCTTCTTCCCCGACACGTTCCACAACCAGACCATGCACGGCACATCCATGTCTGACCCGTCCATGTCAGATCCATGCTGCTTGCTGGTTCCTACGCACTTTGAAAAACCATTCATCCCACGTAAGGGTGGAACAATACACTAAAACTGAACATATCTGAAAATTAAACGCACTTCAACATCGAACTATATCGGAACATCTCTGAACCCACTACGTGCGGTGTCGCTCCATCGGCGCCTCGCTGCATTCAGCGCCTCCTGCAGCTCTTCCGCCTGCCGCTTCGCTTCGCGGTTAGAGCATGCGGTGAACCCCGGGAACCCAAGGCCTTCGAGCAGGTGATAGAAACCAAGGGCGCTTTTCAGTTTTTCAGGTACTACAATAGAAATCAATATTTAAAGTATAAAAGGACCAGGAACATATTTTTAGTAACCAGTAAATAACTTTTTTTGGACTATTCGACCCACCCATCCACCTTCCTATTTTGGGATTACAAGATACATCAAGATACTAAAGCATCCATCGGAAGTTCCAGGTTGGGTCTATCCCATTACCAAGGGCCCTGTGGCCCCGTGGATGATGACGGTTGAAGGCCTTTGAGACGCACACTGGAGGTGAAAAACTGGCTTCACTTGCAGAAGCTTCCGTCATCCCTTCATATGATTGAAACCTGACGATAGACACCTTCAAAATCCTTCAGTACTCGTGGCTCGTCCTCCGGTCTTGGAAATTCCGATGCTTGAAGTGGGCCATTTCGACTTCGAGTTGCGCTTGCCGGTTAGGAACGTGCCAAAAAGAATCAAAAATACCCCTTCAGTGGCCCGGCAGAACTTCCGTTTCCCTGAATGGAACACTCAAGCCTCAAGCCCTTTCTGCGTGCACGCTTTTACTCCTTAGAAGGCGAAACGATTATCCTCTGCTTGGCCCAAGTCGTTTCAAAACATGTATACAAAATATCCAGCCAGTCAATGCTTTCAGGTCTTCTTCGTTCTTGGCGTTTAAGCTTCCAACCAACTAATTCCGGTTGCTCGATCAACCCCCACGACTTCTTGAAATGCTTACATTCTCCGTCCAAAACAACCAAACGCCTCCTCCCAAAAGCTCTAAGCTCGGAGAGAGCGACCCCTCCCACCTCACGACATCCAACATGGATCCCGGTGACCCGGAACAGAAGGAACGTCCATCTCTTCCCCTATAGGGATCTAGTCTAGTACCTTCTCAGGTGAGGACGGAGACACTGAGACATGTAGGTGCCAGGAGGGTACGACTGGATGACTAGGGTTCAACATTTTCGTGGGGTGTCATCAATAACTAGGTTTAAACAGTTTCACCGAACGAACTCCATCTGTTCGAGTGGGGTGCCACCAATCTTCCAAGGTGACCTGCAGGTGATCACGTATTTCCTGTGGCCCGCAAGACCTCCGGTGGTATGGGCGCCTGCAAATGAATCTCTGCCTTCAACAGCAACGCCGTGGCTTCCGTCCGCCCATCCTCCGCCTTGGAGATGGGATGATGGGATTTATATTCAGGATATGCTCCACGAGGCGCCACAAAAAAAGGCCCCACAAAATGTGAAAAACAAAAACGTCGTTTTCACGAAGGTTCAGGGTTGCTCACTCCAACCTCCCTGGCACAAAAAGGCTAAGAAGCGGTCCCACAAAAACCGGACAACGTGGATCTATGGATGTACTGAACTCTATCCCAACCCTAGGGATCTCTGGATCCGTTTTCGTACCGAACCTCAGGTTCGGTACAGCCGGACCCGACGGGCTGGCACCGACAAATAACAGTGTCGAACACATCACCGTACCGGAGAAGGTACGACTGGATCCCTAACCCTAGCGTTGTAATCTTCTGCATGGGGATTTGGCAACACACCAAAACCTACTGGAAAGTAAGTTAGGGTTCTTGCTCCTCCAATCTAAGCCACTGGATCTGATAGTTTACCAATCGGAGATTTAAGTCACCAAGGAGATATTGCTGAACACTGAGATCTCTAAATTTTCAACCATGACTTGGGTGGTGCAAATCCATTCATTAACATTTCACAACCAGTCGCGCAGCATGGATCCTCGCGCGCTGAGCTGGGCGATCCACCCCTGGCCCCTTCTTTGCGGCCCATACCTAAACACTTCATGTATGAAAAAGTTAGCTATTTATACATGGATATGGATAGGTCATGTTCATGGAAAAAAAGGTCACTCTTCCAGTTCCATTCCACTTTCTTTGGGCAGGATCCTTTTCCCTCGGAGTGACCAAAGGATCCCGTGCCTCGACCGCCAGAGCCATGGCATCCTCCAAGGTTTCGAGGATTTCGCTCTGCGGTCGACCTCGGTCGGACCGTAGGAGCCGTAGGAGCCTAGGGATCCAGTCATATCTTCAGTACGGTGAGGATGGAGACACTATTATTCTATAGGTTTGGAGGGTCCAGTCGTACCGAACCTGAGGTTCGGTACGACTGGATCCCTATAGGGGGAAGGCGAGGATTTCCCAGCCAAGGCCAACGCTGCAACTATTGACTGGTGGTTTGCCTATGTTTGGCTACAAGCCTCTTGCAATGTATAATGGGAAGAAATAGAATTGATTGCATATTGATTCACCCTTACGTGAAACCGGCACTTCAGGTTTTTGAGAACCAAGATTTTAGGACGTATCGGTTCACTCTGACCCAAACAATAATATGAAACGATCGATATACAATTAGAAGGACCTGCAGTTGGTTGTGTTCGGTTGCACTGTGTTCGGGTCACACCTTGGTCGTCCAAATGTGGCAGCATTTGGACGACCAAGGTGACTGGTGACACAAATCATGGTCCACTCTTAACCAAAATTAGTCCAGAAATCTCACTTGACCAATATGGAGAACCTCGATTTGGTCACTTGATGTGATGATGTGTCGCTGGGCTGAACTCTCCACCAGAGGTTATGTCAGTCGCACTCTTCTTCAGAGTAACAGAGTGAAGTGTTGGGACACGTCGAGTTTGAGCAGGAACTATATAGGAACTTGGATTTGTTCATTAATGTATATACATGTTCCCCAGGATAGAAAATACAATTATAAAGAATTAAATAACATAAACATGCTTATTAACATCACCTGATCCGCTAAAACCAGGGCAGGAACCCGAACCTCCCCACACGGTTCCGCTCCATTGGTTCCATCAGTTCCATCGGCTCAGATCGCTGCCGTTAAAGACGTGGATCTGAGCGATGACACACAGCGCGGCCCTGTGGTGCGGCGCCAAGTGCCGGGAGCCCACCAGTTCATCCGAAAACAAAACCCATCAGTTCACCGTGTTTGTGTAATTTTCTGGTTTAACGTGGATGACGAGACATTCCATGTGTGTGTGTGTGTTGTATATTTTTTTAAAGGAGGTTCTGGTAGAGGGTATCAACGGCATGCCATCTACCCTGAAACCACTGCAACGTGTTTCATTGTCTTGCATGTCACTGTCAATGTGTCCAACATTCACAACCCGACTTTGGATAATTGTGGTTGGTAGAGGTGATCAATGTGAATCCTTACCCATATTCTTTGCGGGACGCGTGCAAGACTTCTTGGTTCATACGCTTGCCCAAAAAGAACGGGCAAACAGGGACATCCACAAAAATGGGACTGAGAATGACTGAGAATATACCGAACTACCATGCTCGACCTATCATCCACCTGATGCGCTGAGAGGATAGAGTAGAAGGCCAAAAGCTTGGGCCATTCAATGCTTCTTTTTTGAAATCCCCAGGTTCGGTGGTAGGGGGTGCCAGGGAGTGTCCCACCAATGAACCTGAGGATATGGGCCAGGAGCCACCAAAGGGCTAACATGTCAAAACGGATCAAAACGGTATATGTTGATCATCCTCAAAACCTACTTTGGTTTCACAGGCTGGGTTCAGGTCCATTCCTGGATCCTCACAAGGTACGTTCAACGACGAATTCTTCGCCAAGCCACGCTTCCGCTTGCACATCCCCGACATCGTGTGCCGCCTCTTTGGCCTCCAAGCAGCAGGAGAGCAACACGCGATCTGAGGGCTGAGAATTCATGGTTGAATTGGACATTCATTGGTTTCATGGTACACCTTAACTGATTGAACTGCATTGCCACAAATAGAACCTTCTAAAATCGGATGTCCTTTGTAAAGACCACCATTTAATTATAACAACACAGGGAGGATGCACATGTTTTCTTTTGTGGTTTTCCTCTAGAGCTTTGAACACATTGTACGGATTTCCATGGACCGTTGTGTTTTCTTCGATTGGCAAGACCCCTGGTACGCGCCGTTGGATCAGACACCGACCCGTGAAAAACAAGGAGTTATATATCCGGAATGAACGAAAACAGCGTCCCAAAACAACGGCCTGAAGGGTAGGTCTCCGGACCGTGGGTCTTCCAGAGACATGACTCACATGACTTCCATCGTTAAGCGTTTCGCATGTCCAACGACCCGCATGACTTCCATTAGAGTGGCTCAGATTGAAGATCCATCCATCCACAGTGGGTCTTCCACTGTTCCCCTCATGCTTTCGCTCATCGTCGCCGTGTCGTCCACATGGGGAAAAATAAAAGGATCTTCACATGTCCCTCAAAGCGCCAGTGTCATTGATGTTAGGAAGCCCTTGGCTTGGGAGCTTTTCCTATATCCTGGTGTCACCCTGCGGTTTTACGTTTTTTCATGGCGTGAGGCTCCCGTTTGCCATGCAACGTAAGCGCTTGAAGACTTGCCACTTCATGGAGCCGGTCCCTTCTTCCACTGAAAGTCAGTCGTTGACATTGATCCAAAACATCAGACTTGTTGTGACGACAATCCTGAACCTTCAATGAATCTAAAGATACACCCCGGGAAGAGACCCACATGGAATCTGATGGCATGGACCTTTGGAAGACATGCGGGGTTTTCGGGTTCCATGTGGGTATCTTCCAGGGAGTACTGTTATCCGGATGATGCATAGATTGCTGACCTGCTAACTGCTTGATTTCAACATTTGCAAGCACTTCTCATTGATTCATTGATTGATCAAATTCACAAAAGAAAGTGAATTACAACAGACATATACTGTCCATCAAACTGTTTGTGCATTCCCAGTCTGGACAGTCAATACATCGTTTATTAAAGAGACGTCCACGTCCCGGCACGGTCGTACGACTCTCGGTCCGTCGCGAGCCTGCTTGGAGACTGTGGCAGCACGGCTCAGGTCCTCACCACGGCGGTTGGAGGCTTCACAGGCAAGGGACGATGGAGTTGGACATGCCACGTGGAACGTGGGGAGGGCGTGTGGAGGGCGTGTGTATCATTGGAGAGGGGGCCTCTGTCCGTGCGTGGTTTGACCATGCGACTCACGAGGCACCTTGCGATCCCATGTCCAAACTGGGAGTCACTTGAACTGATCGATACAGTCATTAGTCAACACATGTCGAAACATATTGACAAGGTTTCTTTGGTCAAAACTGTTGCAGTACTTGGATATGATGTTCTTGTGAGTGTTGCATCTCGTTTCTCGCTCATCCTTTTGGGTGCCTCTCTGTGCGGCTTAAGCCAAGACACGAGGAGGTGACGGATGAAAATACTTAAGACTCTGAATCTTGGGAGTGGGCAGCTGCATGGTCAATCATACATACTACAATATATATACCTGGAGTCTCCCTCAGGCCTCTTATGTTAGGCCGGGCCTTAAAAAAAATGTTAAGGACCTTTTTATGTTGTTGAGGACCTTTTTACAATATAGTTGCCTGGCCCAAAATAAAGACCTCAGGGAGACTCCATGAGAGATTTCAGTGTGTCACGAGCGGTGGCTCAAACATGAAGCCCATGCTTGTGGTCCCCGTGGTGCCGTGGAGGAGGTGCGCCCTCCTCTCTCTCTCTCTCTCACACTCTTCTCTCATGTGCAGTGCAGTGTTTATTGATCATTGTTGTGCAGTGTGCAATTGATCTCCTCTCTCTCTCCCTCGTATTGCCTCAGTGCATCTCAGTGCTCAAGTCACGAGATTTGCGTTCTCTCGGTCAATGACCATGCATGAATGCCACATTGCAAACGGTGATTTGTGGGGTTGAACCGGACTGTGGCAACCACGGTTTGTCTTCTTCTGGCGACTTGTATGGGAAGGGCAAACGCGTTTTTGGGTGTCCGAGGACCTTTTTAGTTTCCAACCCAAACCGGGTGCGTCCGAGAAACGTATTTCCACGACCGAAACGCGTATTTCGGCGACCGAAGCGGATGCGTCCGACCCGTCCGACCCCCGTCCGTGCGTTTTTTAAATTTTGCTACTTTTTTGGGGTTTTGGATTTTTTTGGGTGCCCCGGTCAAGCCTCAAACTTGGATAGATTGAGTTCCCTGTTGGTCTACGAAATGGTCTTGTAATGTGCGGGGTGGATGGTTCAAGGGAATGGCTGATGAATGTATAGTACATGAACACTTGCTTGCATGGAGCATGCATCGGACTCTCGGCGCGTGTCTCTGCTATAGGTTTTGTGGCTGGAAGCCCCCATGCTTTCTAGTGGTTGGGTTTGGCAATGGCAAAACGTGTGCGGTCCCTGGCGTCGGTCTTGTGGGATTCAGAGTGTACAGAATCGAGGAAACTAAGGCTGATTGGGCCATCTGCAGGTTACCATCAACAACCATGATCCATGTATCAGGTACCTTTTCTGACAGGTTGCTCCTTTTCTTTTCAATGGAGCCCTTTAAAAAGTCCTTTTCAGTCCTTTTCTAAATACGCAAAAAAAGGCCAGAGGAGACTCCAGGTATATAATATATATATATATATAGACATGACCTCCTTCATGATAGGAATGTTGGCCTTATTTTGGATCGTTGATCCTCCAAAATCAGGTCACTCAGGTTCTATACATACTATATAACCCCGCAGGGAACGCTTTGAAAGAGCCTGACTCCCGGAACGTTATGTGCTAGAAAATAGGTTTCACCGAACTGTCCATCAAATCTCCAAAAAATGTTATTAAAAAAGCCGGACTCCCTCAGTTTTGCTGGTAAAAAAGATGTTAACCTTTTCTCATCTGTTGTTCATCTGTTCATATTAGAAGTCAATGCCGTCAATGCCCCAAAAAAAAGTTGACCTGCGTACTTTTGGGGTGCTTACTAGCTCTGGCCCACAACCGGTCCTGCAATCCGGTGCCCCATGCTTCGATGTTCTCGAGCTTCGTCAAACACCAAGAGCCCTTAAAAGCCCCAAGTCCATATGGCAGCGGATAAAACATGGTTGGACAAAAAGAAAAAGGAAACACTCCCTGGAACTAACATGGAAGTGGAGAATGGCCCTTTGGAAGACAATTTTTCCACTACAAACAGGTGGTTTTCCACTTCCATGTTAGTTCCAAGGAGTGTAGGTTGACCTCCCTAATCTATTCTGAGATCACTGTGGGCCACCTGGAGGAACTCACCCTGATAAGACCGACTAGTCAGGTCGTCTCTTCTATTCAATTTGGGTGGGAAAAACCAGGGTGTCCCACCTTCTGAGTAGGTCAACCGGTCGGTCTCCTTGTGCCCTCCTCGGCCACTGCTTCCCTTCCCACGAGGTTCCTCCCAGGGCAGTGGCGCTTTGGCATTGCCTTTGCTTCGCGCTCGCAGTTGTTTGGTGCCTAGGCGTCTGCGCAGTGGAAAACAGCAGCAAGCCGTATACAGCGGAGTGAGGAGTAATCAGGGGCCCCACAAATAACCACCAAAAACATTGATTTCCCTGCCAAAATATGGTTTGTGTATGTTTTTGTATTAACCAGTATGTTTCATGGGTTTGAGGGCTGCTGGTATGTAGATACAGCCTTCCACCATCCAGTCCTTCTGCGATTCGTAGCCTTCGGATCGAGTCTGAGGGTGAAGGCCAAAGGACACTCCCAGACCCATCCATGGCACTCCTACATTGAAACCACCAACCACCCCAATGCATTGACCCCTCCAACAACCCCAATGTAGTAAAACAAGCCAGCATTGACCCCTCCAACAACCCCAATGTAGTCCGCCGACCCCTGCCTAGCTGACGCCTAGGCGGGGCGGCGCCGGGGACACCGCAGGGTGAAACAGTTGCCCAGGCCAAGCAGATCCAGAGCGTTTCGCCGTGGCGTCGCTGCCTTTCTCTGCCGAAGGAGATTCAGAGTGTGTCGACGGTGCCGTTTCTGGGTGTGGCCGTCGGTTGCATTCTGCCTTATACGCACGCCTCTGACTCAGCTGCCAGGCAACTGGGCAGGCCAGGCGACGTTGGGCGCCGCTGCCTTTCCAGGCGACGTTGGGCATTTTGGCTGGCTGCGGCTCGGCCTGCGCCTCTCTGCTGCAAGGTCCCGAAGGCGCATTTTGGTCGGCCTACACCTCTTTTCTTCAGGGTCCCGAAGGCGAAGTGCCAGGCAACGTCAGGCACTTTAGCTGGCTGCGGCTCGCCTCTTTTTGGTGTGGAAATAGATGGTGGTTGGCAGCCCTCAAACGCTCCCCCCGCAGCCTTTGGCCCACTCCTGCACCGCAGCCTTGCCTGGCAGAGCCGGTGCACGTGCTGTAAGGTCCCGAAGGCGCATGCACGAGCTCCAATACCGGGCTGTGGTGTTGCAGCTTTGCATGTGCTTCCTGGTCGGTGAGGCAGTCCATGGACCGCACCCAGTAATTCACGTTCTCTTGGGAACCCCAAATAAGACACTCAAACTCGAACTGTTGGGTCAAAGCCCATAACTCCACGCCAGCAGAAGCGTGGTGGATGGAGTCTAACATGGCAGGCTGGGGCAATAATGCATGGAGCTTACTCAATAAGACTACTTCGGTCGTATTCAAGGCTGCAGTCTCGACGGCAGTCGGCTGTTGTCGGAGGAAGTGCTCGTGCAGGCGCAATTCGTCTGCGTTGAACGGCACACACGCGGTTGCAACTGCGTCTGCTTGAGGCCCGTGCTGGGCAGCCAACAACCACTCAATGGCTTGCAAGTAGATTTCGGCGGCTGCGCTGCGATCCCAGTTCGTCCCTCCTTTGAAGTACTTGCTCACGGTGTAGAAGAAACACCAGCCGTCCCCCGGCACGTGTACAACGTTCGACTGTATTCGAGCTTGCAATGCCTCGGCTGCTGGGGTCGCTGCCGCCTCTTTCTCACGTGGCGCTGCTATCACTCGGTCCGGGGGACTCGGCGACACAGTGCCATCCTCCACATGGTGTGCTGGCTGCCGTCTTTTGCGAAGGCGTGCTGGAGGATTGCCGTTCGCGGCATGCTGCTTTCGATTTCGTACCCTTCGTGGTAGGTACCATCGGCTTTGGCCACAGAATTAATGCATCCCGAGTGCTCGTGCGTGGAAAGGGATGGCCTCTGCACCCGCAGACTAACAACCAGATCAAGCCACACACGTCGCGCGCTGTTGGCTGCCTTGTCCACACGTTTTGCCGGCGGTGTCCTTGGTAAGACCTTCCGCCTGCGGAGCGACCCATTCGGCGCCGTCTTTGCTTCGGAAATCTTTCTCCCAGGTCCCGCCGTGCTTGCAGGCTGAAGACACAGCCGCAGAGATTGAAGTAAAATAACAGATCCAGTTGCTTTGCATAGCTACACCCAATGGCACAGCTGAGCTCCCATTTCTGCCCTCCGCTGACTTCCGTGCTCACGGCGTAGAACAAACACCTGCCCTCACCCGGCACTAGCACGTAGTAGGCCTGTATTTGGGTTGCTGCGCCGCGGCCTCATCCACTTTGCGTGCTAGCTAGCTGCCGTTTCTTTCCAGGTCGTGCTGGCGGCTTGCCGTACACGGCGTGCAGCTTTCGATGGCGTCGTTTTCGTGCTTGGTACCCTCGGCCGTGGACAGAGAATGCATCCCGATAGCTCACTGGTGGCACGGAGGAGCCTTGACATCCGCAGAGAAACAACCAGATCCAGCCACACACTTCCAGTGTTGTTCGCAGCCTCTTCCATGCCTTGTGCCGGCGATGTCCTTTGCAACGCCTTCCGCCTGCGAAGCGACTCTTTCGAACCCAGCCTTGCTTGGGCAACCTTGCTCGCAAGGCCCGCCGTGCTTGCAGGCTGAAGACACAACCGAAGAGATTGAAGCCAAATAACGGATCCAGTTGCTTTGCAGAGCTACACAAAATAGCACCGCTGATTGCAAGAAGCCAGGTGCATAGGAGCCAGCGACCTGGCAGATTCCGCGTCCAATGCGTGTGCATCTACCCCCCGGGCTCACGCCGCTCACTCTGGAACGGTGCAGAAACGAAAAAGGTTTGGAGGAGACTTTTTTTTGTTCTATCACATCTGCTTGCTGCAGCTGGGTTGCACCGAAGTGTACCTACACCTCTGTGTGGCTCCTGTATGCGCGTGTCCCGACTGCTGCGGTCTTCTGTGCAATTTGTCTTGTGCGTACGACTTTGCTTGCTAGAGCCGTCTGCACGATGTCGTGTTCTCAACTTGCGCCGTCTCTCACCAAAGCCACGTTCCCCGGACGTAGCGAATGCGAAAGCGACTGCGAGCGAGCGCGAAACATGCACCGAACGGCAGTAACAAGACAGAGCCACACTCTACGGCCCGGTAGACCTCGTGCTCGAGCGATCGCGAAACACACGGCCAGACATAAAGCCAGAAAATAGTCTGACGGACACGGGAACGGCTGCCAACACACCGCTCGCGACGCGCCCAGACGTCGATAGCGAGCATACAAGGAGAAGAGTTGGCACCCATCCCGTGCACGCCTCTGTTTTGGGACGGTCTGTGTGTCTGCCTGTGCTTGACTCGGTCTTGGTGCACCATGTGTTCTTCGTTTGCTTTGGGCGCATGTCTCGGGCGTAGCCTGTCCTGGCGCGAGAAACTCTTTCGTGTGTGGCACAGCGCGCGCGCGGCTGCTTGCAGGCTACCACGTACACACTTTGCAAGCATGTAGGCTAAGACTGTACGCGTCGCAAAAAAGAAAAAGTGACTAAGAAAAACAACAACCGACTTGCGGACAATGTCTGTGAGGGCGGAGCGACTTCTTCGTGTCACCACCAGGGCTGTGGCTAGCTGGCATGAGCGACGCTCTTGTTGCCAGCTGACAGCTGCCGCCTCTCATCATCCGTCGAGCTCCATGTGCCTCTTCTCTCTCCGACGGCTCTCCCGACTTTTGGCTGCTAGGTGCAGCCAGAGCAGTCAGCCCCCGTCACTGGGACGGATGCTGCCGGCTGTCAGGCGTAAGCCTTTAAATTATATAGGCCTTACATGGATGGTCTGGGACTGAACATTTTGGGACAACGGACGACAAACATGACTATTGTTTGACATGAGTTACTGCCGACGTCGACAACCCATCATACGGTTTGAATCCCTATTAAAGGATGTATTGGGGGGGGGGGGATGGCCACTGCTCACATGACAAGTCCCAGCAGTCTACCATTCTGTCCATGAGCATTGGCTTTTCGTCCAGTTGCCAGTTGAGAAACTGGTTCAGCCATGCAAATGCTCACCAGAACAACATGTTGTACTGAGAATACTACTGGATTCCTCGCTTTCCCGGTCAAACTGTACAGCTTGCGGTTCACGACAGAAGTGAGCAGTTTGCACAAGAAGCAATGGCAATGGCAGGGACCATAAGTTGTTCTCAAACATTGCTTGAAAGGTATGCCTTCAACATGCGTGATTTTGCTTTCCACGCGAAAGAGATTAAATCCCAAAGGCCGAATGTCGAAGCATCTGGTTCAAACACAAGCTTGGGTCGGGCATCTAGCATCCTATCTTCAACGGAGTTGACGTTGAACCGATTGGAACCGTAGGCGTTGGATGCATAAAAAAAAGGTTCAAAATAGGCCTCAAGAAGGTTCAAACCGTACTGTGGCTTGATGTTTTCAAACAAGGTCACCTCACCTCGTCACCTCGTCCGGTGGCGTCGCTTGCCGAAACGACATGGGGCCCGGCTTTGCTCCTGCTGCTTCTTCAGGAGTTTGCTCCGACACTCTGCCTCATGGCGTCATTGTTCTTGGAATCCTTTATTCAACAATCGCGGAGAATTCAGCGGGGTGTGTGCTTGGGTAGGACACTGGGTTTGGTTGATTTTAGTGTAGCTGAATGGGAACAATGGTTGAATTGGTTCTATGGATGTTTTGTATGGGGTTCATTCGTCAAACTGTATGGCAGTCACCTCATGTACATGCCACATGTCTTCTTCTGTGGGAAATCCAACCAACGCATAGTATGGCCGCAAGCCAAACCATCATTTTTTGGACAAACTACATACCCCAAAAACGACCCATGGGATTGACATATTGACCGATCAGTTTGGGTGATTGATTGCAGGGGTGCACGTAGGTAATTGTAATTGCAAGGAAGATGAACATAAATGCCCCCGTGAGTTAGCCAGGAAAGGTCGCGCTGACCTCCAGACTCCAGAGGCCTACAAACTCACAAGGGTGTGAAAACCGAGTCTCTACAAAATGCCACGCGGAAGGGCACTCTAGATTAATCAAGATCAGATTAATCAACAAAAGAAACATGATTGGGCAACTTGTCCAGGCAACATGTTTTTGTGCTTCCAAGCAAGAGTAGCCATGGAAACATATTTTACATTAAAATTAAGCATGATGAATCTACCGTAGATTATTCTGATTATTCTATGTTTTTAGAGCGCAGCTGACAGACGCGGCCAACACAAGGCGTCTCATGCCACGCAAGCAGCAAAGCCGGTGGTCATCTGTGGGCGTCGTCAGATTAGTGGGAAAGCCACCGTTCACAACAAGCCTGTCCCGTAGAAAAAGGAGGTTCGCAGCCCCTGCACCACGATTCTGATTATAGAAAGTGATTCTGAAACATTTCTGTTCATTTTCTAGGACTGCGCCACTAGAAAATTAAGGTGTGTAAGTTCAAAGGTTGTACCCCCAAATGCCCCCAACATGTCCCTGCAACCGGGCCCAGGAAAGCAAGAGCTGGGATTCTAGTCCAAAACAACGTCCTGGCAAGAGACCCCTTCATGGTGATGGTGTTGCTGGTGATGGTGCTAGTGATGGTGGTGGTGAAAGTGGTGATGGTGATGGTTGGTGATGGTTGTGGTGGCGGTGATAATGGTGGTGGCGGTGGTGGTGGTGATGGTGATGGTGGTGGTGAAGGTGATGGTGGTGGTGATGGCGGTGGGTGGTGATGATGGTGGTGGTGGCGCTGTTAGGCGCATATCCCCACAGGGAGAAACTTTGAAATCAATAGCTATGAATAAGGGGGGCGCCCTACAGGGAGAAACCCCGAAATCAACAGCTATATATGTATATATATATATATATGAAGGGGACACACCCGCACAGAGAGAAAGCATCAAGAACAAGATTGTCCTAAGTCCAATGAAAAACAATGCCTGTGACACAGGAGGCTTTGACAGGACTGGAAACAAGCAATTCATGGTTGTGTGCGAGTGTGTCCGTGGATGTGTTTGCCATGGGTCTTATAAACCCTTGAGGCATCCGTGCGCAGAAGAGCGCCAGGATTCGAAGATGAGGGATTCCGCATGTTGTCACAACCCGGTTCATGCAAATTACATCATTACTGTGAGCACAGATCACCGAGGATTGTAAGGATGCTCCATCAAAGAATCAACCGCTCCGCTGGTGATGTTGGTGCTGGTGCACGGGCTGGTGCCACTCAAGCCTCACATTGTCCAGTTGGTCCATCCCCAGGCATTTGCGGTACTCGCACATCACATGCTCCACCGCTGCACCAAACACGGTCTCCACTGGTGGCTCAGCTCATGCCTCCCGCTTCAAAGCTGATCCAAAACGCCCGGCCCAAGGGCGTTATAAACCGTGGCAGCTGAAAGGGTCTGGCAGGCAGGCCTTCGCCTTGGGTGGAAAAACATGTTTTCAAGGTTACCAGCCGCGAACGCGAAGGTGTCAGGCAATGATTCGCCTGGGAACACTGGCGCAGCGCGCGGAGGAGCTCAGTGGCGCCCGAGCGTGGCGCGGCCGCGCCTGGAGCCCGGAGGCGCGGTGCTTTCTAACTGCGTATTTATTTGATAAGTGTGTATTCATACACACAATAACATGTGCACGCGCAGGTTTTCAAAATTAAGCTATATGCAGTTGCCAAAATCGAAAAACTTTGAAAGCCGTTTCTACTTTTCCTGCTTAATTACAAGCGCCTTGAAAAACCTATGCGCCGCCCGATATACCTACATAAACTTTTCAGTTGAAGATACGTAGACCGCAAGTATAGGTTGACTATGACTAAGTTGCAGAAAGTTGGATTGTTTCCATCAACCACACGCCGCGTTCATCGCAAAGCCACCCGCGCAAAAAGAACGCGTTCACAAGTCAATGGGCATCCTTGTGTAGCCTTGCATTGAAACCTCGGCCCTGGCTTGCCAAGGTTGCGCTTCCAACTTTGGGGGGAACGTTGCCTCCGACAAGAAAGTATTGTAGGGAGAGTTTAACGAATACTTCTTGCAAACATGGGTATACAGCCCGCAACATCTCGAGGATATAGAATGTCCAAGGCGTGGAGCAAAGCAGAGCCCCGGGCGCATGACTCTGGAGGCACGGGGCATTGGCCCCAAGAACAACTGGAGGCAAGCTTCTTCTGGGGCGCAGAACAAAGAAATAATAGCTTTGGGTTCAACGCCAAGTTTCTTCTGACAAACATTGCTGCAAAATGCTGGCGATTGTTGTCCTCCGAATCATATTCGCCGAACAAGCCTGGCTCGTTGAGCCAGAACTGGGACTTCTGGACTTTGCGCAGGTTTGCTCTTGACCAACTTTTGGGCAACAGGCACGGCGCCTGATCCCACCTCCAGAAGAATTCCACTACATTGACCTACGGTTTGCAGTGCCCTGAGCCTTCCTATAGTCCTGCAAGACGTACTCGTACCACTGCGGCTAATTATTCCTGGCCACCAACGGTCAAATGAAATGCATGTGCCAAACGACGCCCGTGAGACGGCATGTCAAGGAGGCCATGCGAGAGCGAGTGACATCACAGGTGCGCGCGGCGTGGGTCTAAAAGCCCCTAGTGTAGCGGCAATGGACCGACTCACTCTGTAGTTGCAAACTTGCGCCAGTTCATCAGTGGCAACAAATGAGAAACAAAACATGAGGGCAATCTCTCATTCAATCGCAATCGTTCATTTTGAGGGAATTCTGGCCCTTGAAATGCTTGATGAGCCGTGCTGGCGTGCTGGTAGCAAGCCCTGCTTTGCCAATCCAAGTACTTGGTGGTTCCTTCTTACTTGTGGCACTTGCAACTTATTTAAGAAACTTATAGGACTTAAGCAAGTTGTAAGTAGTACTTAGGGAACTTAGGTTTTATTAGTTTATTATTTATAACCGTAAGTTGTATAAATTACTTGTAACTAACTTATAAGTTCTGTAAGTTCCTGGACGCCCAAAAGTATAGTCTCAATCAACCTGATAAAAAATCGTTTTCATTTTGCAAACTTTCTATTATGTGAGCGGTCCTGCAGGCGGCTCATTGAGCCGCCAAGCATTGGAAGACAATAGTCACTTGGCGGGGCGGCTCAGGGAGCGAAAAAAAGTTCTTCGCACAGGCTGGTCATGTCTACCAAAACTATTCTTGTTCTTTGAGCTTCAATGGCAACTGATGTTCAATGATTGTTTTTTCAACTTGATTCAGCTCAACCAATTGAAAAATATACAGGGGTTACATATAGGTTGGCTGGTGGTCAATTGGGGGTTAGATCTAGGTTGGCTGGCGGCCCATTGGGCCGCCCAGATGTGTTGGCTGGCGGCCCCAGTGGAAAATACCCTATACTCTAGACCTTATGCAAAGGGCCCTGTACCAAAAGTACTTGTCCTTGAAAAGCAATGCATCAAACATGAACTTTGATTCATTTGCCATTGAGCCATTCAAAACAGAACTACCATAGCTCCACCTGGTATATCTAAATATTCCGGTTGCTGACCAACAACTTTCAAACACATAAAATCTGACTAGCCGATTGTTTTCACATGTCACGAAATCACAAATGTATAAAAATGTATAAACATGTATAAAAATGTATAAATCAATGCGGACAAAAATTTATAAATGTATAAATCAACAAATTATCAATTTATACATGTATAAATCACATCATTTTCAATTATACATGTATAAATTGATAACGGAATCGATTTATACATGTATAAACATGTATAAAAATGTATAAATTCAATTTCTGAAGTTTAAACATTTTGCTTGTCATGCGATAAGATTTTATCAAATAGGATTCATTTCTCAGAGTTGCCAACCCCACCACCTCATGAGTTTAGACATTTCCTGACTCCCTGATTTTTGTAAAAAAATCCAGGAGTAAGGATTAAGTTTTGCAACAATGTTTTTTGTTTGCTGGCGTTTGCTGGCTCCAAGTGTGTGCTGCTCACGCGTCCTCAGCTGCCGGTACTGCTGAACATGGAGCTTGTGCAAAAAAAAGTATAAATATTCTTGGCTTAGTGCGTGAGACCCGACCTGCTGCTCAATGAGCCGCAGGTCTATTTTTGAAACAAGAGCGACACCCATCATTAGCCATGATCAAGATGGCACGCGGTATATATATATATATACATATTTTTGCATGAGACACAACCTGCGGCTCAATGAGCCGCTTGTTTTATTTATACAGGAGCAACATCCATCATGAATCAGCCATGACCATGACAAGACGGCGTGCGGCTCAGTGAGCTGCGTGATGAACATGCGATCGGAGCATGAACTCGATTTCAAGTTTAAGAAACAAAGTGCAAAAAGATAAGACACGATTTAATCAGTTTTTGTATAAATGAAAAAACTTGAACTTGGATATCTCAAAAAGTTAAGTTCCCTAAGTTAGTTATAACTTATTTTTGACTAATTTTTGATAATCTAGATATAGAACTTTAGAAATTTCTAACTTTTGCTAACTAACTTGCAAGTGCCACATCTTAACATAAAAACTTGTGCTAGTTACAGAACTTGTAACCCCTTCGTAACTTAAGTTACCAACCACCTACAAGATACTTACAAGTTCCCTAGCCAAAACGGAACCACCAAGTATGTCAATCACAACTAGAAATCCGACGATCCACAAGTGGTAACCAGACCCAGAAACCGTCAGTGAAATGCCGAAAAAAATCAACTAGACGACGGGTGGCCCGAGAGCGAGACATGTGATTGTCCAGTACTGTGGAAAAGACATCGATGAAGAAAGAAAGGATGGACGTGAAGGAGTGACAGTGTGGATGTGCAGGTGTCATATAGATGTGTAGATGTATGGAGGTGGAGAGGTAGATGTATGGATGCGAGCGTGCGAAGACGTAAATGGACAAAGGCGAGAGAAAAGATATATCTTAGGTTCGTCAGAAGTCAGTCGCTCTTCAAACGGCTGAAGACAAGTCAGTCGCATTTCAAGACAAAAACGAAGTCAACCGTCAGCAGGTCGAAGCGCACACAAAATGGAGTTGTGTGCGCTTCATCCTGGTCCCAAAAACAAGCGGCGAGTAGAGATCCTGCGAGCAGAGGCTCAAAGCAAATCAGTTTGACTTCAAGTATCAGACACAGAGAAAGCACGCAGTAACGGTGCTTCCAGTCATCATCTCCACTCTCGCGGATAGGCCCTTCAAAGCACCAACAGTGCGACCTGGGTGCAAACGACATTACGATCAGGACAAGTGACTCCTGCGTTCCAACAGTGCATCGATTGTCGCGCAGGTGAAGTAGACACATATCAACGTCACGTCCCTTTCTCCGGCAGTTGCGGATCCCGTCGTCTAAGCGATGATGTCGCAGTTTCGTCCCGAACAGTCTCGACGGACGACCCGCGACACAAACTAGTCTCGGTGTGCTGCGCTGAAGTCTCTCTGCCATTCCGCGCGCAAACCTTCCAGGTGCCACAACGCTTCCAAGACATAGGGTCGATTGCGCCAAGGACGCAACGCTGGTCTTTTTTGAAGTAGCAACTGCACGGCTTCCAGTGCGGAGTGCTCGTACGCGACAACGAGCCAAGCGCACAAAACCCCCGCGCTCCGATTGATGCCACCAAAGCAGTGAAAGAGCACGTGCATGGATTTGTCCCCGGCGACCGCCAGCATGGACTGTTTCCATAACTGGCTGCAAACGATTTTCCACTGTCGCGGACAGGAAGCCACCAAGTCCGGAATCTGCTCAAGCCAACGCCTTGTCGACTTCAATGTCGTGTCCTCCATCTGACGCTGGATGTGAAAGACATCTTGTTCTTGAAAGTATTTCGTCCAGTCGGTATATCTTGAGCAGCTCTACCGCTCCTAACTCTTGCAAACCTCCACGCATCCATTCCGCTCCCTGGTTCACAGCCTTGTTGCGAAACTCTTCCCATCGAGCTTCCGCTACCGACCTTGAACACGAGCTCGCCTGCAAGTATGCATCGGCTTACACAGGGACAACACAATCCCCATGAGCGCAATATACCATGTAACCTTGGAAGCATATACCTATCCATATCCAAAACACAGCGCTTGCGCCTGCCCTGTTGGTGCCAAGGCTTCCATCAATGCAGAGCGCAGTTGCGCAACCGACAGCCATCTGTCGCCTATCTCATGCTTCCGCCAACCGCCAAGCTGCGCAGCTCATCCCATCCCAACTCTTGTAAACGTCCACGAAGCCATTCCGCTCCCTGGTTCCTGGCATTGTTGCGGAACTCTTCCCATCGCAGACCCTGTGACGCGTGCGGCAACTGCTCCATTATCGCGGACAATCCCTTCTAATAACAGAACAGTCGCCGTGCTACAACGCCGCGCGTCCCGGGTACGCGACTCGAGCCAAAAGCTTGTTCCGCAAGCATGTTCTGCTAGCAACCTGTACCCATTCAAACTTACAATGCCTTCCCTAGCTCAGCGCAAACGTCCAAGCTCCAGACACTCCGACCACCGAGTTCATCCTCCATCCATCCGCCACCGACACCTAAAGGCATTGTTTGCGTAATCACTATTCGAATGTCGTCGAAAACATATATCATCCAAATTCTGTCTAGCCTTGCAGCACTGACTCCACGTAAGGCTCCAACCACAACGGTGACGTCATCGCTCGACGCAGGTCCAGGCTCAAACTCTTCAAGTGCTCCACAGAACATCGTGAAAGAACCCCTCAAACATGCGAGACAGGAGATTTTCGAGCAATTCCGTATAAAGAAAGAAGGAGAGGGCGGATGTGAAGGAGTGACTATGTGGATGCGCAGGTGTGATCGAGCTACGCCGATGTGTGGGAGTGTGGGGGGTTGAGAGGGAGATCTGCGGTGTTTCGTACGAGACTTCCTCCACAAATGAAGCACCAATTCTCCAAGTTCTCATCTTCCAGCTCGCCAGATACTCCGCGTACTAAAGTTGTACTACAAAGTCGTCAGCTCTCAGCTTCCAGCTCCCCACCTACTCCGCGTACTGCAGTTGTACTACAAAGTCGTCAGTTCTCATCTTCCAGCTCCCCAGATACCCCGCGTACTAAAGTTGTACTACAACTTCGCCAGTTCTCATCTTCCAGCTCCCCACCTACTCCGCGTACTACAGTTGTACTACAAAGTCGCCAGTTCTCCTCTTCCAGCTCCCCAGCTACCACCCGTACTAAAGTTGTACTACAACTTCGCCAGTTCTCATCTTCCAGCTCCCCAGATGCTCCGCGTACTAAAGTTATACTACAGAGTCGCCAGTTCTCAGCTTCCAGCTCCACAGATTGCTCCGCGTACTAAAGTTGTACTAGAAAGTCGCCAGTTCTCATCTCCAGCTCCCCAGAGACTCCGCGCACTCAAGTTGTACTACAAAGTCGCCAGTTCTCAGCTTCCAGCTCCACAGATTGCTCTTCGTAACAAAGTCGCCAGTTCTCAGCTTCCTGCCTGCATTTCGCGCACTCGACATGCACGATCGCACTCTCGCCTGCATTTCGTGCACTCGACACGCGCGACATCTCCGCAGAGGGTTGCGCCGGACCGGGCCAAATCGCACTCTCGCCTGCATTTCGCGCACTCGACACGCACGATCTCCGCAGAGGCTTGCCCGCGACCGGGACAAATCGCACTCTCGCCTTGATTTCGCGCACTCGACACGCACGATCTCCGCAGAGGGTTGCCCACGGCAGAGACAAATCGCACTCTCGCCTGCATTTC